TGAATATATTACCTCGTTCCTTGTTAGTTACATCTGGCTAATCCAGTAGGATTAACAATGTGTTTAATTGGGTTATAATCGCAATCACTAATTGGTTCAAACGATCTCCACGTCCTTAGTTCTGTAAATGTGGCGGCAAGATTAATCTAATATTTTTCCATTTATTTCTTTGCTTGTCTACAATGTCTGACACATTTATCACATTATTTGTCCACCATGAAAAATAACGATACAAATATCGTGTAAAATATAATAAATATGAATTCAAGAAAATAGGTTCGTTAACAAATGATTTAACATAATAGTTTTAATTTATATATATATATTGACACAATACAATCTTTTAAAAACAGAGCTATAAAATATTCCTAAGTTTTCTTCTGGTTCCATTTGATGTATTAAAAGAAATGCAAGGAAATCAAAACGCTGTTATGTTCGTTTAAAAAGAACACCCAATTGTAATTCTCATTAAAGAACTGATTGGTTTATATACTACAATTTCGAAATATTGAATCCAAAAATGGTTAATTTATCATACAGAGATATAAGATTCAATCAAGCTTCTTCCAACCGTAAAGATAATGTATTTCTATTTATCATACAGAGATATAAGATTCAATCAACCTTCTTCCAAACGTAAAGATAATGTATTTCTATTTATCATACAGAGATATAAGATTCAATCAACCTTCTTCCAAACGTAAAATAATGTATTTCTATTTATCATACAGAGATATAAGATTCAATCAACCTTCTTCCAAACGTAAAGATAATGTATTTCTATTTTCCTTAAGAATGTTTCTTCAAACAAATTGTATAAAACCTCTCTTGACATCATTAACCGTTGTATTAGGAGGATTCAATACTGCTACTTATAATTTGATTTAAAATAAAGCTTTTTCTTTTAATCATAAAAACGATTGAAAATGTTTCCAAACTGTAATAAGCTTACCATATTCTTCTTTCAGTTCAACCCAGTTGATTCGAATCCATATTCGAGAAGTTTTCAACTACACATACTTTTATTCCGTGATTCGACCATGTAGAACTTAGTTTGTAGACCATAAACCAGAAGACTTTTCTTCATTGAACTTTGACCCACAAATTTCTTTACTGTGTTTTCAATAACATTAAGCTCTGTCTCCTGTCTAATGTAAATATTTATATCGTCAGCCTAAGAAGATATAATAACTATCTGATGTTATTGTTCTTAAAAACATTAATATTCTTTCTTAACTTATAAACAAAAGGTTCTATAAATAAAAATCTACTTCACTTAAAAGAGATGGATGAAGCTAAAACAGACCCATGAACTACATAAAACATGCTTTTTTTTGTATATACTGCAGCAACCACCCTTACGATATTACCGATAAAAACCAAATTTTATACGTACCTTTCTTCAATAGTTATGGTTTATGTAGTCGGATGCTTTTTGAAGATCTAAATTTACAATTGCTAAACATTCTTTACTTTGATTTGCGAGATTTATTATACTAATCATAACAAGTACAAAATAAATAAAATATTGGGAATTTAAAAAACTGCAAATAGGGATCGTAAAAAAAAGTAAGCAAACAAGGCTGGAAATACTGTAGGCATTATTTATTCAAACTACAAATTCCTATTCTGGCTCCATGCTGTTACCTAGAATTACATTTGGTTGAATCAAAATAGGGATTTGTAGTTTGAGTTAATAATGTTTACAGTATCTCCAGCCTTGTTTTACGATCCCTATTTGCAGGTTTTTAAATTCCCAATATTTTATTTATTTTCTTTGCTGACTTTTTTTCTATGCTAAACTATGGGCAAAGGATTACTTGATATGTTAGCTACTTTACAAATTGTAATGATAATAAACATCGCTAGTATCTAATTGATACGGGTCATGATGATTTACTGTAGCTATTGACTATTTGATCACATTAGTTCAAGATGTAAAATGTTAAGCTGCAGCTGGAGATTGTCAAGGAGATTTTTTTGAGGATATAGTGAACATTTATAGTTTTTATGTAACTAAATTGTTCATATATATTGCATAGCAATGGGCAAATATATGCCTAGATTGAGACACAACCTCCACTAAGTGAGTATAAAATTTTACCAGTACAAAAGCAGCCTTTTCAAATAAACATCGCTTTAAATAAACCTTCATGTCTTTGGAAGTAATTATTCTACGAATGTGAATAATAAAATTTAATATGATGTGTTGATCTTTTTTTTTTACTCCTTCACTTCATATATAATATAGGGTTGGCTCCCTAAAGACACCGACTGTATAGTGTACAAAGCATTGAGTATGTACATGTTACAGTCATCTAATGTTAATCTATCATTGGCTGGTAATTCCTGTTTCACCCTATACTTAAGCTTTTTAAAGGAACACCACATAGCTAACTTCAACGGGTAATGATAACATCGTTTACTCTTGAATTATGATGTTTTTTAGCTTGTGCAAATAATAAAAGAAACAAAAGGTTTAGGTAGAATATACCGAGCCGTTTTTGTTATAGGCTGGCGAGTGAATAAGAAGAGGAATTACGAACGGGCCGTTTTGAGCGGATTTTCTTTTCCTTGTAAGTTTAAGTTGCGTGCTTGTTTTGTGCATTTTTATATGTGTAAAACCTTAGCAGTCAATAGTGAAGGTTTTAAAATGTTGTTTGAACTGAATATTTACTGTTTAAGGTGCTTTTTTACTCGAATGTTCTATTAGGGTATTGCGCAATCTTGCGATCCCTATTATGAAACAGTATCGTGGTTCATGATATTATTACAATTGCATCGATCTGGAAAGTGTAAGTCCGGCTCTCCTCAATAAATTAACTCATGACAGATCTTATTCTGTTTTAGAAAATACTTCACAATCAGCACACAGAAATGACACTGGTCGCCAGTGGCTTATTTCTGTCAAGTCTGCTCCTTTTTAAGTATTTACTTTATACTGTTTTTTTTTATTCTTTTATTACATTTACCTGTCTCAACCGTTAGGCCAACAAAATATAAGTTAACCATTAGGCCCACAAAATATAACTCAACCGTTAGGCCCACAAAATATAACTCAACCGTTAGGCCAACCAGTTCCAGTAAACTTGCTTTTTGCTAATGATTGGTGAACAGCAGTTATTT